AGATGGCCAGAATAGTAAGAACAAGGAACTCTGGGAACGAACCAACCAAGAACCTATTGTCCAACAAATATTCAGAAGAAAGTGGAGATGGAATGGATTGGATTGGGTATACACTGTGAAGACGATTTGGGGACATCACATGCCAAGCCGTCGAGTGGAAGCCTCATGGGAAATGATGAGTTGGGCTTGCGAGACGAGGGTGACATGGAATAGATGGTGTGAGGAATAAATGAAAGCTTGTGGGCAATCGTGGCACCAGGTTCCAAAGACTGTAGAGAAGAGAGTGTAATGCAGGCGTGCTATTGAATCCCACTAGGAACCCATGGGGAAAATAATAGTAATAGTACTCGGTGAGTTAAACAAAACTGACAGAGATGGAAAACAGCGATGTATGACTTAGGACAACGATTCTAGTTCTTTTATTTCGTAACAGACCATAGGCTGAAAATCAAGAAAATAAAAAGGAATATGACAGAGAGTACAAATTTAGAAAAGGATGAAGAATTAGTACGTCTGCATCATTGTGATCTGTTTTGGAACCATGTTACTAAGAGTCTTCAATCATTGATCCCAAACATCTTGAGGATAGTAATCAGGCAGCTTACGCTTCACCATACGGCTCAGATCAACAGCCAATTATATTGCGAGGTTGTGCTGGGTAATATTTGGTTATCCATACCATAACTCAGCTCCATTGCATTTTAGGGAAAGTTGTGGTTTTCTGTTCAGAAGAGGTATTTCAGCTGATGTAGATTAGTCATCCCAAAATGACTTACTCTACTTCCTCACAAAAGTTAGCATAACGTAAACATCATTCACTATGTGATTGCGATAAATATGACAACCGTTGCGAAAAACCAATTAAAGGAAACCTTATAAGAAGGATGGGTAAATGTGTTCCAGTCTACTTAATCGCCTAAGTCGTAAAATACCAGACGTAATATCTCCTTGTTAACGGTAAACCGGACTGATCCACTTTACAGAACAGTATTAACGAACTTCCGCTGAATTCCATAGCGTATATCGTACTTCATCATGAGTGGTAACTTCTGACTTTATTTCCTAAAGTTTTTTTGGCTCTTATGAATTTGATAATTCTCCTTTACCTCATTCCAGTTATGAAACTACCTTCTTGGCTTTGAGACCAGTTGCACGGTCACTAAGTAAATCAATTTCTTCATCATGTTTAGGTTATCAGTAGCGCATGGCGGTTCAAGCATGGTCACTCCCATTTTTCACGAAACAGTTTCATATAAAGTTTAAACTCTAAATCTAGCAGTTTATTGGAGACCAAGTATTCTCCTTACTAGTCGCACTAAACACCACACGCATCCGCTCATTGAACCAGAATATATGGTCCTCATATAATTGTAATGCTGATGCTTTAACCACCTCTTCTACTTTTAGCCATCGCAAATGCATGGAGTCATTATGAATTTTAATAGTTTGTTTAAACCTCCCTGACTATTTTGTTTGGTAGGAATAGGTCAGAATGATTATTCATGCACCAATTTAGCTTGGAATTAGATGTAGAAATCCAACAGCTACACTAACTTTTGGTTGTGAGTCATTGACCACCCAGCGCTGTTTTTACAGTACACTACCAGGTTACGTCAGGATAAAATCCGAATTAAAAATAATGCTTAGTTGTTTGCCGATTGATCAATTTCCAGCAAAATGCAGAGACAAATATGTTCTGCGAGCGAGACCATATTTGAACTAGAAGTAGGTACTCTTAAAAGATCGGTATTTCTCTCAAGCCATGTCGAATAACAAACAAATCTACCTGAACCGAATATTGGCTTGATGCTAGATTAAATCCAGAAAAATAACTGAAGAAAACAGTCATTATTATAGGTTTTTGAACTTGATATTCAAGCAATATCCCTTAGATACTCTTCTGTTAACTTCAGCCTCCTTAAAAGTCCAATGATTTTGCTCTGCAGCATAACCATCTCTAGAATTCTTGATCAACGCGTCAAAATGAAAAGTTTATAGTTCCACGTATCCTTCATAGCGCCTGAGTGCAGTATTCAGGTAAGTAAACAAAGACTTACAAAAGACTCATCCTGGGTCCCATCACTAACTGTAATTTCTATCCTAAGCACTAAAGTTATAATTACATCATTGAATCTTCAAACATGTGGACTCACCACACTACGCAGGTGTCATCAACAACGCTTTAATCTTGAATGCACACCACTAAAATGCGATTATATACATAATCTGAAATATCAGTCTTGATTACTAAGGTCTGCTGCTTAGTATAGCGTAGACTAGAGGTTAGAAGCTGAGTGTGATTAGGACATTGGTTTAAGGAGCTTTAAAAATCATATCCTATTAAAATGAATGGCTAGTTAAGGTTTTGGAGTAAGGAAAGGATGAAGGAGTTGTGGGTAGTTTAGTGCTTGTGCCAGGAAGAGATAATCAAGGGATAGTAAAGATGACGGAAGAGGTAAAAATGAAGACGATGGGTGATGATCAGGAAGGGTTTATCTGCAATTAATAGAAAACGAGAGTTTGATTATCGAAACCATGGAAGTTGATGTTTACACCAAGTAATTGGAAGACAAAGGTCAATTTCATATGACTTCGGACAACAACAGAGACCTTCTTGAAACTGGTTACATACAGTTATTTAGTGGGATCATGGATGCTTTGGTTGCATTCAATGATTGGAAACGCTTACACCGGTGACAAAAAGTCGCAGAACTAACCACTTTATTCAGAGCGAGAAGAGAACACGAGAAAAAATTGTCGTCTGAGGAAAACACCTTACTTCTATTTAAATCCAAAATACCTACACACCTGCACCACAATTTAACTAGTTCACACTAAGATAGCTGATTGTAGTCTTATGAATTTTTAACCAACCACTTTGTTTTAATTGACCCTAAAGGAAAAATTGTTTCTTTCATCATAGTTCAAACAGGCTATGGAGATAGGCAGGTCAGGTTAGCTGAATTCGCTACATCAAAGGGCCGTTAAATGTTCATCTTTGTAGAATGACGGAATTTCTGCCTATTCGACCACGTTTAAGACAAAAGGTGTGCAGTAATCTTGTAGTTTTATTATCCTTAGACTAACGACATTAGGTAACGATAATCATTTTTGACTTAGTTACATATGCTGTTCAATACATAACTACAGCATCCAATTTCATCAGCAACAGCATCATAAAATAGATTAAAAACCAACTTGAAGAGTTCGGCTTAGGACTGGTATGAGTTTTGTTCTAAAGGAAACCAGGCAGTTAAGCGAATCCCAGAATATCAACATAGCAGCTACACGGTAGTCAATCTGAGTATAGTAGGCCAAAATGCTTAAGAGACGTATGTATTAATCGGATAGTTTCTAATAATTGAGCAAATAAACCAGTGATAGTTGTTTGGTATGTGTCCACTCGCTTACCTGTGAAAACATCAATTGATGGATTCAAAATTAAAATCAGTGCGCAAAGTAAGAAAATGACCTAATTAACCATAAGGTTTTTCGGCAGATTCGGTACAACCCCGAACTCATGATTTGAAGATCGACATCTGGGCATCGTTCCAATTAAGCCATCGTTCCCATAGTAAATGTTTTCCTTTTCTGATAATGCCAGAGTTTAGTTTTAAATGAACTCTGTGGTAAGTAAGTAGTTCACATAGCTTGTTAGAACAATATCATATTCATCTTAATCCTCAACAGATGAGCCCACCAGAATGTAATTGTAACTCCAATGGAGAGAACACATACCAATAAAAATATAAATACAATACAAATAACAATAAAAACTTCAATACCTTAAACGAATAGGACAAAATCAACGCACCGAAAAGTTGTTATTAGTGCAGTATATAAGCATGCTCTACAATATCAAAAAGATAGATGTATGTATAGATCAAAATATGAATACGCAAATAGTAACAAGAGGTGTGGTTGAAAGAAAAAAATACAAAGTGTTAACAGCAAAAGGTCGTTTCTTTCAGCCAGATATTTGAATTCAGTTTTCAGCTACCTATTTAAACATACATTCGATTCAGTACTAGGCTGAAGCAAAATAAGTAAAAAAGGAAAGCAAGAGGAAAAAGAAAGCTATGGTTGAACAACAATCATGACAGTTCAATAAATCTAAATAAGAATTCCAATTATTGAAGTATACGTAAGAAAGGTATGGACTAAAGAGCAGAAATACTAAGATACCACAGAAATTCAATGTGGAACATTCAATAGACAACAGATGAAAGAGTGAGATACAAGAAACCATAATTTATGTACAACGTCCAAGTGTATTGATGATATATCAACTCAACAATCATTCGAAGACATAAAACTGTGATAAGCATTGCTCAATGCTTACAATGCGAGAACAACTAACTTTCATTAAAAGTGAAATTATTTAAGGAAAATTGTAGAGCCTGTAAAAAATAAAAACATCACCTAGTTAAAACACAGCCTTCTATAGTGGGTTTTAATTAAAGTTTGATAAGACAGGACACGGGTAAATCAACTTTCAAAAGCTAAAAAGAAAAAAAACACTAATTACAACGATTCAATAGTCAAGAAGTACGTAATAAAAAAACAGATATGCCCGTATTTTAATTTAGAAAAGGCTGTAACTGGAACCAATTCACAGCGCTTAAGAAAGTCTCCATATGCATGTGTGACATACTGATGAAAGTAGAAGATTCATAGATGCGATTTAAGTGAAAATTTAGCAAGGAGATCATCTCAAAAAGAAACATATTCAACTCAATGACTGAACAAAGAATGAAAGAAAAGTGAAATTTTTCCAAAAATGTCTTTTGCAAGTCTAAGCAGTCACCGATCTTTGATATATGGATAGAATGATTTCAGAAAAAGATTAATGTGTTCACAAGTGTGCTCTGAGGTCTACTAATGCAAAGGCGATCATACATAGTGAATGAAACGTCATTTACGAGTTATGCTGATTAAAAGAAACAGCAGAGTTAGTTGTTTATATTTTTGTTTCTGTCCTCTTTTCAAATATTACTCTATCAGATTCCATATTCTTTAGGCTGTACACGATATGTTGTACTGGCAAGTGAAGCCAGGGTGGCATTAATCATATTATTGATACTGTTTTGATTTGAATGACTGTTTTTACTATTTTTCGGAGATTTAGTTAAACTAGTTGGCTGTGATGATGGTGGATTAGAATTCTGTGAAGCTGTATGCAATGAAGCAGCAAGTAGATCTTCCGCTGTCGGCAAGTTAGAACGTGATAATCCAGTATCTTTTTTATAACTTGTCTTCAACTGTATATCATCAGATGTACGTGATGAATTGGTCGAATACTTTTGATCATTTGTTAGACCAGTTGGCACAGATTCGGATTTACTACTGATATCATCTGGTTTACGTATTTTAGATGGATAATAACCATGACGGATATAAAAGTAAATATCATCGATTTCATCATAAGCTTTGCAAATTTCATCTTGTGTCATATATGATTCCGGTGCAGGAGGTAAATCATTCCTTTGCTTAGCTTGTTGACGTGATGTATACGAATCACGAGGTTCTCGTGTCACATCCTGCATATGTCGGACTAGATAGTTGAGTGTTTCTTGAGCGTGAGCAATAGCCAAGAAATTGCATGCTTGTATACGATGATTTTCCATTAATAGGGCATAAGTTGAGTCATGAGTGAAACCAATTTGAAATGAATGGTCACGTAACATAGACGGGGTAATTAAAAATAAACGTTCTGGTGAAGCAATTGGAGCAATAATTAAATATCACCCCTATATAAGGAATGTAATCTTAAAAATGTTTATCAGTAAATATAAGTGACTGAACAGCGACTAGGCCAGAAGTAACCTTAGGAGTAGCATTAAAGAGAGATGGACGACTCATAGATGGACCATTGGTTATGTGATTATAAGTATCTGGTAATGGTATAGGTCTAATTGATAGGGGTAAGCGGAATTTGCGAAGTAAGCCAGATAGTAAATGAACTCCAGAAATATTTTCTGGTCCAGCAATAAGACTCAAAGAGAGCTTGGGAGGAAATACAGCAGGAGTAGAATCTTCTATGCCAAGGTAAATAGTACGTGAAGGAGGTTTAACCGGGAGTAGGTCAGAAGCTACAGATAACTGCTTTGAGCTGTTGGATCGCTCAATAGCCAGAATAAGTCCCAATTCTTTTATTTTCTTCCCACGTTTCAGTGGACAGTGAGGCAGGTAGGTGATATAGCGAAGAAGTGTTCCCGCACGAATAATGTCCGGTTTTGAGTTGGCTAGTGTTTCTGCTGAACACGCTAGGGAAACTAGATTTGGTGGTAAGGAAATTGGTGGTGAGTCATCAGCTGCTCCGTGTGTTTCGTTTGAAAAAGGTATCACTAAGTTTGGAGGAGCTACCAAGCAACGCATATCTTGACGGACAATAAAAGTTGAAGATCTAGTGCGCCTTACTTGTTCAAGTGTGGTTATATGGGGAGTCGGTTGATGATTTTCATTCAGAACTTCGTACCATCCCCGGCATTGACGAAAGAGAAGCAATTTAGACTGAACTTCACAAACGGATACAGGAAAACGTGGATTTTTGTCTTTGGCAGTCCATGTTTCCCAAGTTGCAGATGCAAGCGTTGAATCTGGAAAAGGATATAGCATAAGACTATCATAATTTCTTAAGGCACAACGACACCCAACACGTTTACAAATAGCCTTTATTAGGTAAGTTGTTCCAGAACCGCCTGAACGAAACTCAGACATCAATTCAGACAACGGTTGAGGTGGACCTGGATGCCAACAAATCCCACTTTCCAAACTAGAGTCGACCGACTCCTCAGAATTGGGTAAATGATCACTGGGTGTAGCAGTAGTAGTTGTATTATCACTTTCTTCTCTAAAGTAATAAAATAAAACAAGAAAGCTTAAATATGACCAAACATTACGGAGTGAATAAAAGTAATCTTCATGAGTAAATTTGTTACTACAGAATGCTACTCTAATACTTGCAAACTAGACACACATAAAAAAAGATGGCTTCCAATTTCTCAGTTTGTCTTACCTGACAAAGTGCACACAACTTTTCATCGTAAACAGCAGTAAATCCGTTGCAACAGCCAAATTACAGAGAAGTTATTTGGTGGAAAGAAGCATGAAAAGAATAAGGGGGAAAAAACTAAGGACACATTGATCGGCAAAGAGAACTCCAATGTTGTTACTTGTATTATCCCGTTATTGAGTTGATCAAATTGATCGGTCTCCATCGGGATATGGGCTCTTGTGTAGATGCATGGATATTGTCCGTGTTTGAATTATACATTAATAATGGATAGTGGCTGTGAGTAGAATCCAGGACGCTCGTTTCGTCCTATTTTGGACTCATCAGCTGGATGTACCTGCCTCCCAGTGAATGACGTTGTTCCCACTAGGACTCGAACTCGATTGCCTCGAACCCCAAAGCATCATCCACTGGACCACCGAGTCATGATAACCGCAGGTGCATCCAGCCGATGAGTCCCAAATAGGACGAAACGTGAATCCTGGATTCCACTGCTAGCCGCTATTCACCACTAAACAGGACTGTATATGTAACTTCTCATCACAGCTGTACACTTATAAAGTGATTTGAACATGTCACGAATACTGCCAACAAGGGTCAAAGGTCAATGCTGTTTCGTAACAAAATGCATTGATCTATGGATCAGAAGATACAAGTAGCATAATGTAGGACATGACAAGTTAGTCTTGCGTAGCAAAATATGCAAATTTAAAATAATGAATAGACCCTTTAATAAATTTCGATAACGCTACTAGAAGACGAAGATTATCTGAAAAATGTGAGGAGTAACCGTTCAATGCAGACTAGGGTGGGCGAACACACCCAAATGGCTAGAAAAACAGTTTAACACACAAACTTTGATAAGTGCAGGTGACAGACATCCATCGTCATCTATAGCAAAACATGTCATTGAAATGAATCACAGGGTTAATACGAAAACAGCCTTCAAGATATTATGCAGGAATAATCAGGAGCGCATACTGAAGTTTGCCGAAGAGTTAGCCATTCGTAAACTTAATCCCCCGCTGTGTGTACAAAAACAATTTGTTGTTTCACTTAATTTACCTTGGTAATCCTTATCTGATTATATTACCAAGACTAGTGTCACAACCTTTCATATTCATTATATTTGACCTTTAATTTTCATATATAAATTGACTTGACAAGTAAATGTGTGATCAGATTGTTCGAAATGTATTGCGCAAATACATCACATTTTTCAGATAATCTTCGTCTTCTAATAACGTTATCGAAATAATGAATAGAGCCCAGAAATGTTTGTTTCTTCTTAATAAGATGCGCAGGATGAACAGGAGCATTAAACAATATTACACACAAATAAGTGACAGGAATCTCAACCAATAAAATCAGTTGTAATAAAGGGAATGAAGATAGATTGAAGAGAGTTGTGAAACTAAGGTCATGGTAGTAAAAAAGGCGCTGACCAAAACACTTCTGTACACAGAGTTCAGGATTCTCTTTGTGAATAATCAGAGCTTCTGTTGTACAAAGATGCAATCTAAATCCCTTTGAACGGCGTGGTCTCACCTCATCTCTCACATCGAATGAGTTATATATAGATCCTACATGACATGACGGAAAAATATGCTCCAAAGTAGAAGTGTTTATCAACTTGAATTCTGTTTTCGATAACTATACCGGAAATCTTTGTCAAAGCGTCTTGCTAGTACGGTCTATAAATTTAGCTCCTCTTCAGCAAGTAAAACTATATGCACATAAGGAAGTCGTCAACGCAGGAACCTTAACTTCGAAGTTTTGGCGATTGATAACTTGTGTGGAGAAAGTTAGACACAGGGATGCAGCAAAGAATGATCTTCAAAATGTTTTACATAGGTGAGATTGTAGAACTTGACTCTTCGTTGGGTCTTTGAATTTCAGATTTATACACAGGTGCCTTCAGATTTACAGTTCAATACGTTTTGTTATCAGATAACGTTAATAAGTGACGCTTGTTGGCATTATTTAACAGATATAATACTGTACAGCTATAACGAGAGGTTACCAAAACAGTTCTCCTTACTGATCAAAACCTTTTTTATTCAAATCACCTTAATGTCTTTGACACGATTGAGAAAGGACTAGAGATAAGCAGAACTGAAATAATACTGGTCGCAACTTTCAGCGCATTATGAAATCTGTTAGTATATGCATAAATGGAACAACCTTTCAGTTGAAGTTTTCAAGGTGTTTTATCTTTGATACACTTCCGATGATCCAGGTCAAACAACATACAACAATGTCTCCATCCATTACGGGAAACTACAAATGATTTTGGACATAGTTTTTGTCGGAGAGGGTGAGTTTCTGAATTTTATGTAAAATAAGCGAGGATGAATAACAAACTTAGAAAATATCAGTTACGGTTTGAACTAACTAACCTCAGGGTTATCATCAAAGTAGAGAACAACCAGTTGCTTCTTGTATCTAATCCTGCTCTGTTTAGAGCGAGATTAAAAGACAAGATTCAACAAGAACTCTGAAGGACAGATAGATAGCTAACTGCCGTGACAGCTAAGATGAAATAATCGTTGGGATTTAGGTCTCTTATTCCCATAAACAGAACACCTGGTTAGTAAGAAGGGGGGCACTGGTTTCAATTCGATCACAACTCGTTTACTTTCAGCTTATTCAAATGGATAGAAAACAGACCAAAAAATTCAACAAAAGTATATATGAGAATAGGTCGATAAAGGTCAATAAAGCTACTCAGAACTACGACAGTGACATAAATGTATACACTGAAGCGAGTTTTGAGTCGTATGACTAAAAGTTTACACCCATTGGTCTATGTTACTTTGATAACCCCATCCAAAAAGTCTACATCTCTCTAAATGGCTTAGATTGACGGCTAGGGACATCATAGAGGATGGCCAGTCTTGGTCAAAATACCCTGACCCGTCCTTCTTCTGACTCCACCCTACTTTGGCTAACAGCGCCTTTCGAGGCAGGCACTGAGTCAGCATACGCAAGCCATGTTAGTCGATGAAGGTTCACAACCTCATCGACTGGTTTACAGCCTTAACTTAGTAAGACCTACCGAAACTCGACTTTGCTCACACGCTAATTCCACTACATGCGGGAAATGCTCGCAATAACTGATATGTAGGTAGTCTAAGTTTTAGGCCAAGGTTTCATCTACCTGGTAGCTGTGAAATAGGTAAAAGAATCCTGGTTTAGTTTCAGAGAAATAATTTGGGTTTTGTCGAGTCCTGCAAGGTATTCGCCTTTATGAGAATGACTAGCTATTGGTTAGTGTATCGTTCTTTATCTACTCGTGTCATTTCATTCGTGCTAATACTTTTCTCCGTTTAAGTTGTCGTTCACTGTGGTAGCTTGAATCGACATGCATTCGTATGAGATTTCAGGTTGTTTTATTTGTCTCTTTCGGTTACAGATTACAACACTAGGCTAATTTTTGTCTAATAAGTAATTAGGATTATCACTATACATGTGATGGGGAAGGAATTTCAGCTTACAAACTTTATTTTCATTTTAATAACGGAGTGAACTATAAGATATAGTAGATGAATTGAAGAAATTACGATTCGCTACCATATAACTCAAAATAGTTTAAGTTGGTTTAGAAACTGCATTCATCAATACATAGTTCTAATTAAATTATTGCGGATTATGGGAAGATGTTAAGTCGAA